TCCTCGGGGCCCAGGGGGGCGGGGGCCAACGCAGGCGGGGGTCAGCCAGAGCGCAGGCTCTTGCAGGATCCTGCGGGGCCAGGTCCGGGTACAGCCAGGACCCCGGGTAAGGGGAACCGGTTGGTAGTACGGTGAGCGGCTTGAATAAGGAACACTTACTTTTCAAAAGGGGCTCGATGTTCCTTATGCTCGCATGCTTTATTTATCGGTTCTCAGGCGTTATTTATTATTTGTCGTTTTTTTCCCATGCGTTACTCCTTGGAAAAAGGGGCTCCGTTCCTTATTTATCGTTCCTTAGGTCAGGCCGATGACTGTAGGGCCCGGGAGCCCCTAAATGGCCAGACTCACTAAACCAGGTCTGCTGTAGCTGGCGTTTTTTCGGGCGGCGGCAGTTCCGGTCAGTGGAACGGGGCGGGCGGGGCGTCCCCCAGTACACGTCACTAAACCAGGTCCTGCTAAACCCAGTTCTGCCACCGCCCGACAGGTGCGCACTGACCCGGGTCTCGGTGCAGGATCCGGCAGAGGATCCTGCAGATGTTCGCAATGACCTGACGGACCCAGGTCTGGATTGACCCGGTCCAGAAGAGCCCCGACCCTCTCCGCTCCGCCGCGCCCCGCAGCGGAAGGTTCGTTTTCGAGACTTTTTTCGGGCCCACGCTCCACTACAGGCCTCCCAGAAGGTGTCCGAGCAGATGGGGTCGGAGGATCGCGACACATCGGCGATACATCGGCGACGCGGTTGATGCTGAGCCTGATCTTCTCCACGCTGGCGTCGCTCATGCATCGCCGATGTCGACGATGCATCACCGATGCATCGGCGATGCATCCAGGAATGCGGCTCGATCCTCCAACTCCATCTAGCACTCGGACCCCATTCGAGAGGCCTCAGCTCAGATGAGGACAATGCACCGACACCGTTACCCTTCATTGTTTTCGGCTTGATGGCTTCGGGGCAGGCCCTTGTCGGCACGGTTGGAGTCGCCTCGAAATTATGGTCATAACGCTTCCCTGGAGAGGTCAAAAGAGTAGCCGTGTTTGTACTTTTCGGTTTCCCCTCCTGACGGATCTGTTTGACTTTGGTTCGAGTCTTTGCGGCTCTCAGTCCGACCCTGGCTCGATTCGAGTTCTACCTAAGTCCGGCTCGAGTCCGATAGATGTCTGTCGCACGGGTCTAGATTCTTCCGGAACGCTGTGGAAGGACCGCGGCACCTGATACATTCTCCGAACCCGACGATGCTCAGAGGTGTCCGATTCATGGTCCGAGCTTGGCTCGACTTTGCCTTCGTCTTGGTCCGCTCGCTCGCTCGCTCCATCCGCTCGCTCCGCCCATGGGCTCCGCCAGGGCTCATTTCGACTCCGATTCGATTTCGATGGCCTCCGATTCCGATTCGATGCGACTCGGGATTCCGACTTACAGTGGGGCCCATGCCAAGATTTTTTTTGTTTGCTTCCAGGGTGCCCTGGGTTTTTTCTTGGGTGTCGATGCTTTTGCTGTGGCAGGCGTGACGTTCCCACACCAAAAATCCATGGGCGCCCTGGGGTCTCAGGGTTGTGTTTCTTGTGGAAGGTTTCCTGTGGTCGAGCCCCTACTGTAGAACATCGTCTGGTGTTACGTTCCCAGCGATGTTGGTCTCTCGGGCCGGCCGGAGGCCCTGGGGCCCAGGGCCTTGCAGACAGCCCATGCTGGAAGTCTGGGTCCCATCCACGCTCCCGTTGCCTCGCGCGCGCGCGTTAGAGTACTACTCCAACGCGGTGAACGTCTCACTGGCGATTCTAGCGCGTCTCGGGCCCACAGGGCCGCTTTCTTGTTTGCGGCAACCGTTCCAGGCGCTGAACCTCTCACCGGCGATTCTAGAACGTCCTCGGGTCCATGGGGCCGCTTGCCTCCGCTGCATCGATCCGATCCTGGGCTCCTCGCTGCCCCGCGGCCAGGCACGTCCGCGGCTGGCTGTCGCGCACGCGGGCCCACCGCATCCGGAAGCGGCGGGCGCGCGCGGACTTCGAGCGGGCCAGGAGGCGCGCCGTGGCCGCCGCGCCTCGCCCTCCTCTCTCCTCCTCCTCCTCCCTCCTCCTCCTCCTCCTCCTCCTCCTGCTGCTGCTGCTGCTGCTGCTGCTGCTGCTGTTCTCTCCTCCTGCTCCTCCTCCTCCTCGTCCTCCTCCTCCTCCTGCTCTCTCCTCCTCCTGCTCCTCCTGCTCCTCCTCCTCCTCCTCCTCCTGCTCCTCCTCCTCCTCCTCCTCCCTCCTCCTCGTCCTCCTCCTCCCTCTCCTCGTCCTCCCCGGGGAGGGGGGCGAGGAGGGGTGGTGGCGAGGGCAGCGGTGGCGAGGGCAGGGGTGGCGAGGAGGGGAGCGAGGAGGGGGCGGGGGCGAGTCACCGCCCACCCAAGCCACCTCCATCCAACCCGAAGGCCCCGATCGGGCATGCATTCCCAGTGGTCGGGGGGGGGGGACGGGTAACATTGACGAAAAACATGTGGAGCCCGTACTAGCCCCCCCAAACCGAAATTCAGGCCTTCGGGTCGGGTTGGGTGGTCTGGTAGGTCGTCGGCGGGGAGAAGGGCGACCAGACTCGATCCTCCGAACCCATCTAGCACTCGGACCCCATTCGGGAGGCCGTCGCTCAGACGAGGGCAAGGTACCGACTCTGTTACCCTTCATTGTTTTCGCCTTGATGGCACCGCCCTGCCAACGTTACTCTTCAGGGGCACTGCCCTGCCAACGTGCTCCGACGGCACGCGGTGCCCCGGAGAGCGCTCCGCGCGGGGGCGCACCCCGCGCGCCGCCGCCGGGCACCCCCGCGGGGCCCATCGGCCGCGGCGCCCCCGGGCACCGCGCGGCCGCGCGGCGACGCGGCGTGCGCCCCCGCGGCGACACGGCGCCTGCATTCAGTCGGGCCCGTCCCTCTACAGGGCGAATGTTCAAAAAATCGTCCAAAACAGTCTGGGGACGATTTTTGTTTAATTTTTAAATAATTTGTTGAATCTGGTTTAGATGTTCTTATTTCTCGCCCAAGCGCCCAAAATCCGCCTGTAGTGGGACAGGCACGACCTAACGCCTGCAGGGCGCCGCGCTGCTCCGGCCCGGCTCCCTCGTCTCGGGCCGGGCGAAAAGGGAGGATCGGGAAAGGGGCGGTTCCGAAATTTGCTGCATGCAGCTGGTTTCGGCCTCACCGAGGGGCCCATTCCTCGATGCACAGTCGCCTCCGGCGCCGGGAGGCGCCGGGAAAATCAGCTGCGTGAGCTGATTCTCAAGCCCCCTCTTTGCTGTTCCCTCCTTTCGCCCGACCCGATCGTCGTCTTGGAGGATCGGTGGCTGGGCGCTGCTCGGATAGCGCAGTCAACTCGTATCGGATGGGCGATCTTCCCAAGGGGTACCCTTGTGTCCTTGCCTCCTCGGTCCATCCTTGACCGCTTTCGCTGGCCAACCTCGTTCGAACATCGTTACCCTCCAAGGCCTTTGCATCCGTACCACCCGCGCATCTTTATCATACGGGTTGACAGTGCAGTCGGGCCGAAACATGAGATCGAGGTCGGTTCGTAGAAATAATACCGATGTGATTCGTGTTAGTTGGATGTTCTCGTGTTCCCTGGGGAGGGTACCCTTGGATGTTCTGCGTGTGATGGCCAGCGGAGGCTCTCGTGCTCCTGAATGCTGCTTTTCAGTCCTAGCTTCGACTGCATGGCTAGGATGGGCTCCAGGAAGAGGGGTCGCACCACGCTTACTTCTACGCTCAGGAGGGGAAAAACACACACAGACACAATGAATCGTCGACTCCCCAGAAAATATGGGAAAATATGGGAAGTGGGGGGGAAGACAGAAACCCAACAAATATGGGAAAATATGGGAAATCATTTTATTTGTGTGTATTTATTAGTGTGTCCCAGGGCCCCTTCATACACTCTGTTCCCCCTTCAGCCTGAGCACCTCCTGGAGCAGTGCTTCAGGAGTCGCCCGGCTCTAGTCTGATCGGCCCCCCTGGGGCTGACCGGCCTTGGGGGTGGGGGGGTGGTACGCCGTCAGTGGACGCCCGAAGTGGACACGGAAACAATGGGTACAATGCCCAACAACAAATGTTGTCCCAAACCAGCAGCGGCCGCTGTTGGGCAGGCGGCCTTCTGTCTCGAATGGACACAGGCCGCGGCGACACCGACAGCGAGTGCTGTTCAGAATGAACAGGAACTGCTGTTGGGAATTGTACCCATTCTTTCCGTACCCATTTCGGGCGTCCGAAGTCAGGACTCAGAAATCAGAGAGGAGGGGCCCGGGGGCCAGTTTGGGCCGCAGGTCAATCCTTCGCGCGGCTCTCTTGCCGGCTCCTTCCTCCTCCTCCTCCTCCTCCTCCTACCTCCTCCTCCTCCTCCTCCTCCTCCTCCTCCTCCTCCTCCTCCTCCCTCCTCCTCCTCCTCCTCCTCCTCCTCCTCCTCCTCCTCCTCCTCCTCCTCCTCCTCCTCCTCCTCCTCCTCCTCCTCCTCCTCATTGTTCTCCTGGTCGCCCTCCCGCCTCGCCCCTCCTGGCCCTGCCCCCTCCTTCTCGTTCCACTCGTCGCCCCGCCCCCTCCTCCCTCCTCCCTCCTCCCCCCCCTCTCCTACCCCCCGCTTCCTCCTCCTCCTCCTCCTCCTCCTCCTCCTCCTCCTCCTCGCATCTTCCCCCCCCTGCTGCCCCTTCCCCTGGCCCCAGAAAAGGCCCAAACCGAGCCCCATGAGGGGTCCCAGACAGCCCCTGGGCCTCAAGCGGGAGTGTGGGACCACTCCAGGCTCCCCGGGAAGCTCTCGACAAGGCGGAGCTCATGGAGACCGACCCGGGGCCCCCAAACCTGCCCCAACCCTGCCACAACAGTCGAACCCCTCGCGCCGCGGTGTGGTTCACGACGCGAGGAAGTCTCGGCAGGAGGCGGGTGCAGGACGAGGGAGGACGAGGGCGAGGACGAGGGCGAGGGTCACGAGGACGCCGCCCCGGCCGCCGAGGCGCTTCAAGGCGGCGCAGCGCATCCAGGCGCTGGCCCGCGGCCGCGCGGGCCGGAGGCGCGCCTGCTGCGTCCGCCCCCCCGCCCCCCCCCCACCGTCGAGGGCTGCCGGAGGTGTCGCTGGGGCGGGGCGTCCGCGGGATTCCCGGGGGAGGCCCAGGGGAGCCACGCAGAAGGTCGACTACACGCAAGAGTGACCCTTCGCCGGGGTGACCTTTGGTGCGGGCCCATTGGGGTCCACGATCGCCGCACGCGAGGTAGCAGTGGCGTCTTGCGCGCTTGTGTTTGGCCCCCCCGCGGCCCCCAAAAAGCCGCGCACCAAAGGTCACTCTTACCCAGGGTCACTCTTACGCGTAGCCGAGAAGGGCTCGAAGAAAAAAAACGCCATAAACATAGACTGTTGGCGTTCCGCGCGGAGTTCTTGGATCCGCGCTGGGCCCCCCCCGGCGGCGCCTGCGGCGCCGTCCTTGGCTCGCTCCGCGCGCCAGGGCATAGGGTCCAGCGCAGATCCAAGGACTCCGCGCGGAGCGCCTCAAAGTGTGTGTGCCTCGCCGCGGGCGTTGGAGGCGCAGCGCCGCGTCAGGTGCCCAGAGTCGGCCACTCGGTGGGGCTCGGCCCGGCGATCGAACGGCCGCCGATCGGCGGGAGGCCTCACGGCCCACGCGGCGTCTGTTGAGAACAAAAGGGCCCCTGGCCCTAATGTCGGGGGCGGAAAAGAGGGGGGTGATGACTAGGGGGGGGGGGATATCATGGCGGGGGCCATGATATTTCCCCAGATTTCATGGCGCCTCTTCTTATTTCATTACGTCCCTGGCCCCCCCGCTGGGCCGCGCACATGCCGTCGGTCATGATTTGCACCCTCCCCTCTTGGACACCCCCCTCTTGGCCGCTCCCGATGATAACACGATGAAGACGTGGCCTCGCTGAGGTCCCCGTCTCCGCACTAGGGATCATACATCTCGGCGGTCTGGTCTGGTACATCTGCAGAAAAGATCCCCTATCCCAAATGTTTCTGGCCCTCCGAACTCAGGTCCCCTCCTAAAGGGTTGATTAGGGGTCTTTTTCTAGTTAATCAAGTGAGACACGCTAGGGTCGCCCCCCCCCCCCCCCCCTCCCTGGCGTGCTCCCGCCCGCAGGGAGGGGGGTCCAGCGCCAGTCCAGGTCCGCGTGGAGCACTGAGAGTTCACTCGGCGGCGAGCGAGAGGGGGAAACGACAAACAGGGGTCGTGCTTTCTCAGAAGACTCAGAGATGCCCCCCCGCCTTTGACAAGTTCCCGGGGCCTCCCCCGAAGTTCCACAGGAAGACTTCTCTCGAGGCGCGAGGGCTTCTGAGAAGCCCCGCCGCCCTCTGAGAAAGACGTCTCCTTCTCAATTCCCATCCTCGCTCGCCGCCGATTATGTCCCTGCAGTCTGTGCACATCTGGTTCGAGGATCGGTTTCCTGGTCGTGCCAGCGACGGAGCATCGGCCGCCAGGCGCGCCCGCGGGACGGTGCGTCGTGGGCGGCTCTCCGGCGGCCCGGGAGGCCCTTCTGCGTCGGGGCTCGAGAGATCGGGGCTGGACAGAACCCCCAACGGTGACATGTCGATTAGTGAATTGTCCGTTTTCGGTTCTCGAGAGGGCGCCGTGGCCGTGATTTTCCAGGCTTGCGCCCGCCAGGTTTGGGCCTCAGGTCGTTTTCACCAAACCACGTTTTACGAAAGGGGGGTCGGTCCATCCCCGAAGAGACGTGGGTCAATGCGGACGGGGGTCAGTCAGCGCGCTGGACCTCGCAGGATCCTGCACCGCCAGGGTTGCATGGACCGCGGCCTGGGTGCAGGATCCTGCAGGATCCTGCAACGCCTGACCGACCAGGGCCTGGGTCGACCCGGGCCAGCAGACCCCCGACGCGTGTTCTCCTGGGGCCCTCCTCGCAGAAGCCAAACCTGCCAACTTCGGGCCGGACGAAAGGGGGGGATATTGGGAAAGGGGGGGGTCACGAAATCTGCTGCATGCAGCTGGTTTCGGCCCCACCGAGGGGCCGGGAGGCGCCGGGAAAATCAGCTACGTGAGCTGATTCTCAAACCCCCCCCTTTGCTATCCCCCCCTTTCGCCCGGCCCGACAACTCATGTTCTTTGTCGGCGCTCCGCGCGGATCTCTGGGACCTGCACTGGAAGCCCCCCCCCTTGGCGGCGCCTCCAGCGCCGCCCCTGGCGCGCTCTGCGCGTCGAGGGGGTGTCGCAGATCCGATCGGCGAAGATCGAGCATTGGCGAAGCGTCTCGGCTTGCGTACAGGCCCACCAGAGAGGGTTCTAAGAACCTCGCGTGATCTGCACGAAATGCTTTCGGGCTTCTGGCTTAGACCGTCTTGTTGTAACACGTCGGGTTTATGATCTAATAATAAGTCGGGCCTGTCCCTCTACAGGAGGAATATTCAAAAATAGTAAGAAATAGTCTGGGGACAAGTTTTGACATGATGTTTAACATGTTGAGGGTATGTTTGGGATATTTTAGTCTTTCGTCCAAAATCGGCCTGTAGGGCGACAGGCCCGACTTAGATCTAAGAATCCAGTTTTGTTATTGGACGGACTTGGGGTTCTAATACCACGTCGTGGTAAGCCTGTAGGAGGATACAGGGACGGCCGGCCCCTGCTCGGGCAGCGTTCCGACAGTGCATGTCTCTGTCTTTTGGTGTGCTTCCTCGGTCAGGGCTGCGGGACCGACCGGGGGTATCTGGAGGATCGAAATTCAAAGGAGGAAAAGGCACCCATACATCTCTATCCTTCGGCCGTTTCCCCCATCGTGGGCCTCCTGGGAGGCCTTCGTCGCCACCGCTGGATTCGCCTCGAAATTCTGGTCAGAACGCACCCCAGGACAGGTCCAGGCGGGTAGCAGTATCGGTACCTGTTGTTTTCCCCAGAACCTGGTACCGAAAGGTCGCGTGGGTGTTCTGGGGGAGGGGGGAATGATGGTTAAGCGGGGAGTGGATCTCGTGTCGGGGGTCATGATGTCTCCCCCGAGGTCGTGCCCCCCCCCCCCCCTTCTTTATTTCGATACAGTCGGACCGAGGTACGAGATCGGGTCGGTTCGGGGAGGTTGCCCTAGTGTTCTTCGTGCGTCAGATGTTCTGGTGCATCCTCGCGAGGGTACTATTGAATGTGCTTTGTGTTTTGGCCGACGGCTCCGCCCTTTCTCTGCTAATTAAAGCTGTGCGCGTCCCGCTCAGCTTTCAGCGGAAGAGGTTCGCTCTTGCCCTGCAGATCAAAAAAACGTGTTTTGGCCGACGGAGGGTCTCACGGTCTTGAAGGATGCTCTTCTGTCCCAGGTCCGACCGTACGTCCCGTTGCCCCCCCTTTGGGCCGCGCACGTGCCTCGGGCCATGATCTCGCGAGCCCTCCTCGTAGACGCCCCCCCCCGCCCTCCCCCCTTTACGGTAGTGATTTGGAGCAAGGTTCTCCCGGATCTCCTCGGTGCGAACTCTTTCATGCTCATCAACCGGCTGGTAGTCGTCTTCCGTCAAACGTTCCTCAAGTGGATGATTGGTCGGATCTACAGCGGTGGTGTTCTTTTGAAGTTAGGGCTTCTTGACCTGGGACGCCCCCAGAACAAAGAAAGGTGACGAAGACCGACAGCGGGTCCTGTCCATCATTTCAAGCAGGGCTCGCTGTTCGAGCAAGGGATCGACTACAGAGTTACTTTGCCTCTGATTTTCACCGTTCTCGTCGGACCCGTCGAACATGCGTCGAATGTTGGTACGCCTACCACAAGTTATACGTCTTCGTGTATAGATTCGACGTCAAGGTTCATGTGGGGGTACCTCAATTCTGTCGTCGATCCCCGACTCGAGCCTTCGGTGTCGCCGCGGACGTCGTCCACTTGAAAAAAGCAGAGGGCGCCTGCCCCGGGGCGGCCTGTACGACGGTTCTGGACCACGCTCGTCGTCGTGCCTGGTGCGCTCGTTCATCTCCGCACCCGTGCTGGGCGTCCGTCCACTTTTTCGAGTGTTGCTTTCAGTCGGGCATGTCCCTCTGCAGGTGTTTAAACATAATCAGAGCATAGCTCAGGGACGTCTTTTTTCATATTAGTTCTGATGTTTTAAAACCATGTTTCATTTGTCCTCCACCTCCGCCTGCAGGAGGACATGCCCGACCTCAGTGTTGCCAGAAGTGCTCCTGGCGCAAGGTGCCCCCCAAGATTTTCCCAGGAGACCCCCGCGGCCTCCAGCTGGCACCCCACCACGAGGGCCAGAGGGCTCCAGGGGGCTCCCAAGATGTAGCGAGAAAAGCTGGGGGCACCTTCGGCCAGAGGCACCTTTCTGGCAGGCCCCGACGCTCCTGCGGTGCCCGTCTGCCTCGTGCCAAGATGCCCAGACGATCGGACACTCGCAGAGATGGGTCATACTCGAGCACCTTCCCGCTGTACTCGGGAGGCCATCCGCAAGGAGGGGCCTCCGATCGAGTGCATCGACGGAGGCACGGCACGAGAGGCGTTGTACGAAGCATCTCGGTGCGGTTCGTAGAGCTATTCCGATCGGCATGATGCCAGTTGGGACCACAGTGATCATAGAAAGGGTCTGGTCAGCGTTCGGTTCGGCCGAGTCCCTTCGGGTGATTGCCAGAAGGCCCGAGTGCCCTGCTGGATTCACACGTGCCCCGAGCTGGCAGTTCACTGTTGATCGGTCATGCCAGCTCTCGGGCGGCCGCAGTGGCATTCAAGCGTCGACTCGTCTGTTATCCTCTTCCTTGCGTGCATTGGTTTCGAAGCGGGGGCGTGAGGAGGGGACGGATGAGGCGGAGGAGAGTCGGGAGGGTCCGGTAGCAAATCATGGAAGCTTGGTTTACCCGCTTAATTCCGTCGTTAGCGTCGATTAGCGTCGATTAGCGTCTGGGAGTCGGTGAGACAGCGCCGCTTTGTAGTCGGTTAGCTTCGAATAGCGTCGATTTGGCATCGGCTTAGCGTCGATTCAGCGTCGATCTGCGTCGATTCGCAAACGCCGACAAGACTGTATGGGAGGCTCCCATAGGGTGCCGCCAAAGGATGAAGGGAGCGAGGGACGGAGGGCCCAAGATTGTGAGGGTGCTGGCATGTCTCGCGCAGCCTCCTTGGGGGCCCCTCGTGGATACGGCCGGACGCGGCTCGAGCATCTTATTTGGTCGGGGAGTTTTTTTTGGGGGGGGGCGGGTGTTCTAGGCCTGAGCGAGAATGGATCGGTGGCCTCTCCTGTCTCTTTTGCCTGGCGGCACGCCTCGAAGAAGGAAAAAACGCCATGCACATCGGAGTGAGGGGGCAGAACGGCCATTCATTGTCCCTGGGTGCGTGGCTGAATAAGGAATTCGTGGTGAGAATTCTGCTTGTTGCGTCGTAGTTGTTGTTGCTGTTGTTGCTGTTGTTTATGTTGTTGTTGGTGTTGTTGATGATGCTGTTGGTATTGGTGTTGGTGTTGGTGTTGGTGTTGTTGTTGTTGTTGTTGTTGTTGTTGTTGTTGTTGTTGGTGCTGTTATTGTTGTTGTTGGTGTTGTTGTCATTGTTGTTTTTGCTGTTGCTGCTGTTGTTGTTGTTGCTGTTGTTGTTGTTGCTGCTGCTGTTGTTGTTGAGCCCTCATTTCTGAAGAATAAGTCATGTTGATCCCCCCTCACCGGTGCATACTCTTTTTTATCAATCAAAGTGTGCCTCTCGACGCTCGCACCCTGTTTTTTGTCAGGGGAAGCCTTGGTGCTCAAACTGTGCCCCTGGCCCCCAGATTACAACAACAACGGCTCTCGCCTGAGACTTCCTCCAAATTTACTCAGGACCCCCGCTCCTGAGACCTCTTCACAATTTACTCAGGATCGGTGCTCCCGCCTGTGACGTCCTCGCAATTTAGTCAAGACCCCCGCTCCCATCTGAGACTTCCACAATTTTCTCAGGAACGGCGCTGCCGCTTGAGACTTCATCGCAATTGAATCAAGATTTCCTCGCAATTTGATCAACAAGATCCCCGCTCCCGCCAGAGAACCCTTCACATTTTATTCAGGAATTGCGCTCTCGCCTGTGACTTCCATGCAATTTATACAGAGCTCGCGCTTTCGACGCTCAGGAAACACGCTGCGCCAAGGGCGCCGTTACAATTAACCTAGTACTCGCGCTCTCGCCATACTCAGGCATCCCGCTTGAATGTCCCACCCGCTCGACCCGCCCGTCAGGGGATCGCCCGCCCGTCGTGGGCTCCCGCCGGAGACTTCCTTCAGGAACGGCGTTTTTGCCTAGGACCTCCTCGAACGTTCACGCTCTTACCTTCCTGCTCCTCCTCCCTCTCCCTCCTCCCTCCTCCCTCCTCTCCTCCCTTCTCTCTCCCTCCTCTCTTCCCTCATCCTCATGCCTCTTTGCCCTATCCCCTCTCCCTCCTCTCCCTCCTCCCTTCTCCCTCCCCTCTCCTGCCTCCTCCCTCCCTCTTTCTTTCTTCCTCTCTCTGCCTCTCTCTCTCTCTCCCCTTTCTCTCTCTTTCTCTACCTCTCGTATCTGTCTTTCTCTCTCTCTCTCTCTCTGCCTCTAATCAACCGCCCCCCTCTTCGCTCCTTCTGTCCTGGCGTGTTCCCTCTTCCTTCGTCCCTCACCCTCACTTCCTCCCACTCTCCCTCGTTTTCCCCCTCCTCTTTTTACAGGGCCCACACCAATTCCAATGGCGGGCACATGTACGCCCACGAAGGATTGTCCGCCCCTTCAGGTTTGCCCGCATGTCTAAGCCCGCCGCCCCCCGCAAAGAGAAGGAATCAACCCCAAGGGGGTGTGATCGAAGACACAAATTGCGGGTATCGAGAGTGTGGGGAACTCGTTTTGAATGACACGCGGGCAAGTAAGAGCGAACAGTCTTATAATGACTGTTGTTGTGGTTGTTGCTGTAGTTGTTTGTGTTGTTGTTGTTTTCGTTGGTGTTGCTTTCGTTGTTGTTGTTGGTGATGCTGCTGCTGTTGTTGTTGCTGCTGTTGCTGTCGCTGTTGCTGTTGCTGGTGCTGTTGTTGTTGGTGGTGCTGTTGTTGTTGTTGTGGTTGTTGTCGTTGTTGTTGTTGTTGTTGTTGTTGTCCTTTTTGTTGTTGTTGTCGTTGTTGTTGTTGTTGCTGCTGTTGTTGTTGTTGTTGTTGCTGTTGCTGTTGTTGTTGTTGTTGTTGGTGTTGGTGTTGTTGTTGTTGAACAATATTATTTCTAAAGAATAATTGTTGTTGGGACCCCTGGTGCACGGCCCCCTCGCCGCGCCTAGGCCGCAGCCATGTTTTCATCATTTTCGTGAGGAAGTCTCCGGCAAAACGGGTTGGTCCGGATCCGGTTGTTTTGTTACGGGCGGTTTTCCCTTGCAAGAAATAAGGCAAAGTGGACATTTCTTGTTCTAACATAACCAAACTTCAAGAATCCCTTGCAAAACATAAGGTAAAGTTGACATTCGCGCGCGCAAGACGAAATCCTTCCAAAACATTAGTGTTCGTAGCGATTTTAACATAAAAACATAAAAAAACAATGGTTTTTTCAAAAAAAAAACGTGTCAAAATTTCATCCCGCGCGCTCTTGCGGATTTGTAGGAAACCCAACACTTTTTAAACATTTCTGTCAAACGGGCTTTTGCGAGCAACTTTTTCACGTGCTTCGAACTTCTCCAACAACGGTTGCGCACCTGCCAGGGCCATCATCCCTGTCAAATAATACCATGCGGGACAATCATCGCGACAACCATCGGGACAACCACAACCATCAGGACCTCCAACCAGAGAGAGCTACTCACGTGTATTTCGTAGACGAATGAGCCAGTATTGCACATTGAGGCCGGAACGACAACCACAGAACAAGAATGAGCATGTATCGTCTCACAACAACGGAAACAAGTCCTGTGGTATGCTGGCGCCACCCACGTGGTACCACTCAAAATAAGTGTCTTCGCTTGTGTGGTACAGAAACGGAAAAACGTCGTATCAGACGCTAGCGCCTCACCAGCCAAAGCAGTCCATATCATTGTAGGACCTACAGACAGTACCGGCGTCGTACTGGTTTACCGTGGTTTCCTATTCTAGCGTCAGGAACACGTTACCACCAAAAACCAGTACAGGTGTCCAGTGTTGGAACAGGGGGAAAAGTCGTATACTAAGCTAGCGTCCAGAAAATGTTACCACAACAAGTCACTGTACCCATGCGCCAGTGTAGTAGCCACGGTCGTCCGCAGGCCACGAAGTGAAGTGTCCGAACGTCATAGGGCGGGAAGCTGGGTGTGGGTGGTGGCGAAGAGTCGTTTGGAAATGTGGTAGAGCTTGAACCGGCCCCCCCACAAAGTGGGGGTATTGGCGGGCGTCGTATGAAAACCCTGGCACTGGTGAGAACGGAGTGTCCCCACGTGCTAGTAATTGTTGTTGTTGTTGTTGTTGTTGTTGTTGTTGTTGTTGTTGTTGTTGTTTGTTGTCGTCGTCGTCGTCCCACCCGCGACCCTTCTGCGACCCACCACGCGACCCACCACGCGATTCATTCCGCGACCCACCCCGCGACCCACCCCGCGACCCACCCGCGACCCACCCCCCAACCCACCCGCGGCCCACCCCGCGACCCACCCGCGACCCATCCGCGAACCGTTCCGCGACCCATCCGCGACTCATCCGCGATCCATCCGCGACCCACCCCGCGACCCATCCGCGACCCACCCCGCGACCCACCCTCAAGGGAGCAAAAACCACCCGGACCCGACAATTGATTTTTTTCTAAACTGCCCTGGGCGTTGACTAAACGGCTTCGCCCTGCCCTATTCCATTCATTCCTTGTGTGCGTTTACTAAACGGCTTCGCATGTCGGGGTGATGATTATGGGGTGATTTTTTTGCTTTCTACACCCGCGACCCAACACCGACCCACCCGCGACCCATTTGCGACCCACCAGCGACCCACCTTGATTTATTGAAAAATCGGTGCCTGCTGCGGGCTCGTTGCATAATTTGTGAAACTTTGGCGCTTGCGGCGGGCTTCTCCACAGTCTCGCAAACTGCCGACGTCCCCACCGCCCCTTGTCACTCTTATGTGTATCTGCGGGGTGCTACGGTACACTTTTGGCGCTTCGCGCGGATTTCTTGGATCCGCGCTGGGCCCCCCTGGCGGCGCCCCAGGCGCCGCCCCTGGCGCGCTCCGCGCGACCGCGCAGTTCCTGAATCCATTATTCCATGACTCCGATTTCCTTTGTGGGCAAGGGAGGAACTAGTCAATTCCAGTCTGTGGATCAAACTGGTTGTTGTTCGAAATATAGCGGTTTTGCCGGCGCGTGACTGTGATGCCGGTTTTGCCAGTGCGTTGTAGGGCGGCGCGGCTGTGATGCATGATGTGGGAGGGAGGATGGTAGAGGGATGGGGAACGATGAGGAGAAAGGAGGACGACAGCGAGATCGCGGAGGAAGGTTTGAGTTCATACGATCTCACAGTGCGACCTGCACCGACAAGGACATGCTAATGTATGGGGGTCACGCCGTTGCTCGTTCATGAGTCCACATCTTGGGGATGCACGTTCGCTGCACGGCGCGAGGGGAGGCCCTGTGCAGTTTGGCACTTTGCTGTCGGTTTGAACCAACCTGCTGCTAACGATTCTGAGGATGGGGGTTTCAACGCGCGCTATTCCCGCAGGCGTGTGGCAGAGTTACGTGGACGCAAAGATCAGGCCCGTTCCCGGCAAGTGTTGGGCAAGATGGATGAGTAGACGACGCATCAGAGTCAGTACCCGCCACTACTGCGAACCCATTCGTTTATCAATCAGAGCTTGACTTCAGTATCGTCGTCCACGCGCGGTCGTTGTGTTGAGAGGTCGCCACCATATGCTTTGATCACGTCATGATTTGAGGATGCCGGCAGAGGTAGCAACGTGTCAGGATATGCAATGTACGAGGGGTTATAACTCCAGGGTGCCACCTGGCGCAGGATAAGGTTGAGCGATGCGGAGCAGGAAACAAACTCAATGGTGGTCTCGCCTTTCTTCGTATCCTCCTTGTTTGCCTTGTCCTCATCCGATCACATGCGCAAGTTCGAAAGTTGAGCATCCAGAGTAGTTTGGGGCATCGATGGCCCAGGCTGCGTCCACTTGCTGCGCATCACCTGCGTCTTGACATGACACCGCGGCGAAACTGGACGAACTTGACCCTATCGTGAACATCGCGATTGTAGCCACTAGCTCTCTGAAGTAGGATCCGCCTGGTTATCGTTTTCTTATTCATTGCTTTGCCGATCGGCGCGGGCCCTCGCACCCCCCCCCCATCCCATGGAGTAGGTCTTGGCAGTTTTTGGCGCCTGCTTCAAGCAGGTGGGGTCTCCCCCACAATGGACGCCCAAATGCAAACAGTCGCATCAAGCAGAGGTCTGGAGCCAGACCCCCCCCTCCCCCCCCTTTCCGCCCGATGTCGACGCGCCGAACACGACAACGCCCACCTGCAAGGCCGCCACGACGGTCCAGCGCATCTTCCGCGGGCGCAGGAAGAGGATCGAGATGCGGCACCAGGCTGCCGGGGATGGGGAGAGGGCCGTCCTCGGCCCAGCCAGGTGCCCCCTTTTATTGGGTAGCTCCAGCTGGCCACCTCATGCAAGTCCTTGTGCAGGCGGAAAATTCAGGATAGTTGAACAAACATTCAGGCATTATCATGAGTATGTTCAAGTTCTCTTCCAAGATGTCCTGTAGGAGGACATGCCCGACCTAAGGCAAGGCCCATCCTGGGCTTGGGATCGGTGTATCATATCAGAGAAAGGTGGCCGAATGGTCATTCACTGCCCCTAGGTTCGTGGCTGAAGTGTGGTTCCGTGGTGGAGAGCGTTGTTGCTTTAGTGTTTGTTCCCTACCTAGGCTCTGCCTAGAGGGTTCTTACCCTGTGAGCGTAAGGGGCCGGGCAGTGTTCCCCGCCCCGGGCGGTTCCCCCAGGATCCGTCTTGTGGTTCCCCCAGTGACGTCCCCTTAGCTTAGCGTTGCTTATCTCATCTTAGCTTAGCCTAGCTTAGCTTAGCTTAGCTTAGCCTAACCTAGCTTAGCTTAGCTCAGCTTAGCCTAGCTTAGCTTAGCTTAGCTTAGCTTAGCTTAGCTTAGCCTAGCTTAGCTTAGATTAGCTTGGCTTAGCTTAAATTAGCCTAGCCTAGCTTAGCTTAGCTTAGCTTAGCCTAGCTTAGCTTAGCTTAGCTTAGCTCAGCTTAGCGTATTGCAGCTTGGTTTAGCTTAGTTTAGTTTAGTTGTGTTTAGCTTCGCCTAGCCTAGCCTAGTTTAGTTCAGCTTAGCTTAGCATAGCTCAGCTTACCTTAGCTTAGCTTCGCGCAGTGCAGCATAGCGCAGCGCAGCATTAGCACAGCATAGCATAGCATAACGCAACATAGCATAGCATAGCATAGCCAAGCACAGCATCGCAGAGCATAGCATAGCATAGCATAGCATGTGGATGTATATGTAGGTGTAGGTGTAGGTGTAGATGTGGATGTAGGTGTAGATGTAGATGAAGATATAGATGTAGGTGTAGATGTAGGTGTAAATATAGATGTAGATGTGAGTCTCGCTGTTGATGTTGATGTAGATGTAGCTGCAGGTGTATATGTTAATGTAGCTTTCGGTGTAGATGTAGATGTTGCTTTCCTAGATGCTCCAACTCCTAGGTAGGGTCGCACTGGGATAATTGATGTTGAACTAACCATTGAAGATTAATCAGTGTTGGCCCCCCGCCTCCGGCGCACATCGTACTTTTGCAATTGAAGTGCCCCTCCCTTGGCTCGCAACCGGTTTTCATGAGAGAAAGTCGCGAGATTGCAATGGGGCCCCTCGCCCCCGAATTACAAAAGCAGCGGCTCGCGCTGGATATTTCTCATAAAGGATGGGCCCCCCCCCGCTCCCGCCTGACATTTCCTCCCAGTTTACTCGAGAATCGTGCTCTCGTCTGGGACCTCCTTGCAATTTTCCACGACGCCGCATTCTCGCCATTCAGGAATTGCGCTCTCTAAGGGGTCTTCAGTGGAAAAACTTGCCAATCGCGCTCTCGCCCGAGACGTCCTGGCGAATTGTGCAGGACCCACGCTTTCGCGATCCGCCCGCTCGACCCGCCTGTCAGTCCGCCCGTCTCAACTGCCAGTAGTAAGCCCCGCAGTCTCCCCTCGCTGCTTTTCGCCTGGTTCGATGCTCCTCGCTGCCCCTCGCGATATTGCAGTCGGGTTTGAATGCCGATACCGTCTGTGGCCACGCTACTTGAGTCCCTCGATGCCGTGCGTGGCCCCGCGGTCGCCTTTCGTAGCCTCCTCGTGAACCTTCCATGGCCAAGATGTAGCTCTTCGTGGCCCTCTCGCTGCCCTTCCTGGCCACTTTGCAGCCCTCAGTGGCCCCTTCTGTTTAAGGCTGCGCCAATTACACGTGGCAGGGAAGAAAGATACCCCCCTAAAGCGGGTACGATCGAAGACGAAGAGGGCGGGTATCCATTTTGGTCAGCACATGTTGATTGACACGCACGCGTATATGAGCGAACAGTCTTACGACGATGATTGTTGTTGTTGCTGTTGTTGATGAGCGTTCACTTCTGAAGAAACATTGCTGTTGATCGCCCACCTCCGGCGCACACTGGGGCTCGTACCTTTTTTATGATCAAAGGAAATCTTGACGGTCAAATTGAGCCCTTGACCCCCGAAGTACAACAACAGCAACAGGGACAACAACGGCTCCCGCTTGATACTTCCCAACACACTATTTGAAAATCGCGCTCGCGCGAGAGATCCTCACAATTTATGCAGAAATCGCGCTCTCGCGTGGGACGTCCTTTCATTTTATTCAGACGCCGCGTCCTCGGCACTCAGGAGTCATGCTCGCGCTATTGATTTTTCACGAACTACCTGGGAATTGGGCTATCGCTCGAGACTTCCTCGCGATTAATGGAGGACTCGCGCTTTAGAAACCCGCCTGCTTGACCTGACCGCCTGGGCCTACCTTCTCGACCCGCCCGATAGGGTCTACCCGCCCGCTCTGCCCGTCTGGTTCTGCCACGTGTTTTCTGCTCTTAGCCTCCCTTCCGCTATTCCCTCTCGTGCTCCATCGTCCTCCCACCCCCGTACCCCATCCTTCCATCCATCCTCTCTTCCCCTGCCTTAAAGGCTGCACGAAATACACGTTGCAGGTAAGAAAGATATACCCCTAAGGAGGTACGATTGAAGACTCGAAGACGAGGGCGGGTATCGAGCGTCTGCCATATACAGATAACAGCGAACGGTACACTTACGATTGCTGATGTTGCTGTAGTTGTTGTTTTTGTTGGATATTCATTAAGCAACAGTTATTCTGGCTGGACACCCTGACTCCGCTGTTGCGCTCTCGCCTCGGCGCCTGCTGCATGATACTTCCTTGTTGTTATTACTCAGGACGGGCGCTTCTGCCTCGGCGTTACAACGGGCCCCCTGCAAACAACGACGCTCCCGCTCGATACTGCCTCCGCTATGACTCAAGACTCCTAGGGGCCCTGTGGCTTCCGTGATCCATGTTGAACCTCAACTATTCGACAGTTTTTCCCGACCTAGGCTCTGCCTAGAAGGGTTCTTACCGTGTTGACTGAAAGGGCCGGGCAGTGTTCCACGCCCCGGGCGGTTCCCCCAGTATCCGCCTCGCGGTTCCCCCAGTGGCGTTCCTTTAGCTTAGCGTTGCTTATCTCAGCTTAGCTTAGCTTATTTCATCTTAGCTTAGCTTAGCTTCATCTTAGCTTAGCTTAGTTTAGCTTTGTCTAGCCTAGCTTAGTTTAGCATAGCTTAGCCTCAACTCAGCTTAGTTTAGCCTCGCTTAGCTTAGCTTAGCTCAGCTTAGTTTAGCGCAGCGCAGCATTAACATATCATAGCATAGCATAGCATATCATAGCACATCATATCATGGCGCAGCATAGCATAGCGCGTTATAGCATATCATAGCATAGCATAGCATAGCGCAGCATATCATAGCATAGCTTCGCTTAGCATAGCACAGTGCATCATATCATAGCATATCATAACATAGCATATCATCGCATAGTTTATCATATCATGTCATAGCGCAGCATAGCATAGCAAAGCATAGGGCATCATATCATGACATATCATAACATAGCATAGCGCAGCATCGCATATCATATCATAGCATATCATAGCGCAGCATATCATATCATAGTATAGCCTAACATAGCATAGCATAACGCAACATATCATAGCATAGCATAGCGTATCATAGCGCAGCATATCATAGCATACATGTAGATACAGGTGTAGATGTTGATGTAGATGCAGGTGTGAGTCTCGCTGTTGACGTTGATGTAGATGTAGATGCAGGTGTAGATGTTAATGTAGCTGTCGGTGTAGATGTAGATGTTGCTTTCCTAGATGCTCCAACTCCTAGGTAGGGTCGCACTGGGATAATAATTATGGGACACCCTGCATCCGCACTGGCGCTCTCGCCTCGGCGCTGGCTGCATTTCCTTCGAACATTAGGCTCACGCTCGGGCGTTTTTGGGGTGGCGCCCAAGCCAGCTGCACCCGCAGAAACGACAATCACATCAACAAGAACCGCAACAAGAACACCAACAACAACACCAGCAATCATATTAACACTGTCCGCTCTTACCCGCCCGTGTGCCATTCAACACGTATATCCCAAAGCCTCGATACCCGCCTTCTTTGTTTTCGATCGTGCCCCTGTATCTTTCTTACCTGCAACTTGTATTCCGTCCAGCCCCTGAGACAGGGGAAGAGAGGACGCATGGAAGGAAGGGACAAGGGGCAGTCCAAGACGTTTCCAGAAAGATTCCAGGGTGCGCTCGAAGGGAAGAACACACAGCGGCATTCGGATCCTTTTTCCCACAAGTGGTCCCCAATAGTCTCGAGCGTGCCCCCGAGAACCCCCCATGCGACCCTGGAGGCACAGACGAACCCCCCCCAAGAGGCCCCAGCAGTGCTCCGATGGGGTCAACTTAGCAGATCTTCTATGCAGTGCTTGCGCCTACGCGGGCGCTGTTGCATGGATTACAGTCGACCCGCATACAGTCGGCCCGGATCAGTAGGTCGACCCTGCCAGTTCAAGGGTATTTTATTAGTAAATCTAATTGGTTTTAGGGTTTTAGCAAATGGTCGCAGCCACGCAGAGGCGTGCGTAGCGACGCCCCAAATGCTCGGTCTCCAGTACTTCTACGTGGCGGCGCCCCCGCAGGCACGCAGAGGGCACGCGTGGCGACGGGGGCGTCGCCACGCAGAGCTTCTAAAGACCAAACATTTTGAAAACCAACTGTTTCCTCTACTGAAGTACCTTCGTGTCCTGTGCCTCGCGACACGTGCCTTCCTACACTCCGGTGGCGACGTGGCCCCCGGAAGGGTCTCGTGCCCTCTCGCGTGTCCTGCCCGATCGAGGCCGACCGTGGCACAAGCATGGGCAAGGTGCCCACGAGGCGCCCACGAGGGTGCCCACGAGGCGCCCACGAGCGGGCGCCCACGAGGCGACCACCTCGCATCCTCGCACGAGCGGGCGCCCACGAGGGTGCCCCTCTTGCATCCCACGAGGCGCCCACGAGGCGACCGCGAGCGGGCGCCCACGAGCGGGCGCCCCGGGCGCAAGCTCGGCAGGACCGACCCGGCACTGGGGCGCCCACCGAGGCGCCCACCGGGCGCCTCCCCCCCCACGGGGGCACCGGCCGAGAGCCCAACGCACCCCGAGCGCAGACCCGAGCCCGCAGTCGACCCGCAGCACGCAGGAGGGGAAGAAAAACACACAGGCACAGGGAATCGTCGATTCCCAGGAAGACATGGAAAAATGTGGGAAGGGGGGGGGAAGACGAAACTCCCCAGAAGATTGAGAACTGTGGGGAATCCTGCCAATTCTGCGTGCGTGTATATCTATGTTGAGTGTCCTTGGGCCCCTTCAGTCCCAAGGAGGCGCGGCGAGGAGGCAAGGGGCCCTGGAGGCCCCATGTGGACGCTTTCCGAGCGGGGCCGGCCAGCGGCAGTCGCTGGGGCTGGGCCGATAGGGGGGCCAGCCCGGGCGGGCGTGCCGAGGCGCCTGCCCGGGGGGCGCCTGCCCGGGGGGCGCCTCGCGTGGGCCTCGTGCGCTGGGCGGGGGCGTGCCGAGGCTCGGCCCGGCCCGGGGGCGGCCAGGAGAGGGGGGGATGACTGTACGGGGGGGGGCGGGGGGGGCAAGACTAAGACCCATGGCGGGGGCCACGATGCCTCCCCCGGTTTCGTGGCGCCTCCTCTCCTTTCGTCACGTCCCCGGCCCCTCCTGGACGCCCCCCTCTTGGACGCCCCCGCCCGCCTCTCCTGGACGCCCGCCTCTCCTGGACGCCCGCCTCTCCTGGACGCCTCTTGGCCATGATTTGCGCCCGCCCCTCCTGGACGCCCCCCTCTGGGACGCCCCCCTCTGGGACGCCCCCCTCTACTGGCGCCCGCCCGTGGGCAGACATGGGCGCCTCGTGGGCGCCTGGTGGGCGCCCGTGGCGCGGGGTGGGCGTGCCGAGGTCCGCCCGGTCCCCGCCCACCCGTGACACACATCTATGGCAGCGCGCAAGCCACAGCAAGGTGGCTTGCAGCCCGCAGTTCTCACCGCGCAGCTCACAGCACATGGGCTGCACCTCGTGCCTTCCCCACATATCGCTTGCACGTCATAGCTTACACCGCATAGCTCATACCAGACACATGCAGATCGCGTAGCTCGCATCACATGGACTGCACCACAGGCCTTCACCATATAGTTTGCACATCATAGCTTACACCGCATAGCTCATACCAAACACGTGCAGATTTACATGTATGAGCATAGTTCTATATGCGGCTGCTCTGGATGCTTCGCGTACCCCCTCCAGCCCGTCCAGAAACGATGCCCAGACTAGTTGCCTTGAACAGGTATGTGGAGGAGCATGCAGTGGACTAAAGGGCTGGGTAAGACGTCATGTCATACCCCAAGAGGAGGGGGAGGATGGAGGAGGAATCGGAGAAGCAGGACGAGGAGTGAGAGTGGGATGGGGAGGAGGGAGGAGGAAGGATGAGGACTAGGCGAATGAGGAAGAGGGGGATGAGGAGGGTGAGCAGAAAGGCCAGAAGCCTCTTGGATTCCTCTCGGAGTCTATTCGGATTTCTTCCGAGAGCTTTTTGGAGTCCTTTTGGTGTGTGTTGGGGCTCTCTTGGTAGTTCCTGGGGCCTCTTGGGGCTTCTTGGTTGCCTTTTGGGGGAGCCTCTTACGGCCTCTTGGGAATCTCTTGTGAGCATGTTCGGGGCATCCTGGGGCCCCCTTGGGGGCCTCTTGGGGCCTCAAGGGCTCCCCTCGGGGCCGTCTTGGGGTACCCCTTTGAGCCTGGGGGCCATCATGGGGCCATCTTGGAGGAGATCGATCAAAGGAGGGGCCGTAGTACATTACGGTCTCCCCCCAGGAGGCCAACATATAGTCAAACTTGAGTAATGTCAATGTTAGTTAACGTGGGCCCGAACAGTGTGTTTCTAGCAATCGATGTTGCGCAATATATGTTGTCCAAGTTATGTGGTGCTATCGATGCTGTGCAATCTATGTCGTGCAGTCTTCGTGTTGCAGTCGATGTCGTGCTATACGCACAGGTGTATATATATATATATATGTAGGTGGCCCAATCTGTGTTACGCAATAACTGTACTGACATTTCTGTTGTGAGAGATCAAGAAGCGCGCCGAAGGCACGAAACACATGTTATGCAATGCATGTGCTGCAAATCCTGTGGAGTGACATCTGCGGCGCCATCGATGTAGTGCAATCAATGCAGGGCAATCTAAGTGGCGCATTCCAGGTTGTGTGAGAAGTGCTGTGCAGTATATGTGGTTGTGCAGTATAGGTTCCCCCATATACGTGGTGCAAGATATTGAGCGATCGTTGGTGCGACTTTTGGTCGTGGAATCTGCGTGATGCAATCCAGAGGCGACGAAGGGCCGCGACGAGGCGGCGACGATGCGGCAGCGGGGCGGCGACGGCGAGCACATAGCAGCCAGACCGCTCCACCGGCCCAGACGACGGGCGGCAACGAGGCGACGGGGCGTCGACGACGAGTACATAGTCGCCAGACCACCCAACCGGCCCAGTGCCGTAGAACACGACTAAGAACCTTTCAGCGCAAGTCCTGTTTCAGGGATGATGTTGGTCTTCTCGCCGAGGCCTCTTAAGAGGTCTTGGGTGCCTTTGTGCGGGGCCTCGCTTGACCTCTTAAGAGCTTTGTTGGGGGGTAGGTGCGGGGGTTGTGAGTGCCTTCTGTGGGGAGTAAGCTCCGACACGCAGTTCGAAATCCACCTCTGCGGTGAGCTTTGAGGCCCTCTTGGACGCCTCTTGGGCCGTCCTGGCGGCCTCCTGGGCCAGCTTGGGGCTCTCTTGGATTGGCGTGGAGCGCGTTTAGGAGCCAGGCGTCTGCGGGCAGTCGGTTGAGCCCTTTGGGCTTAGGCGTGAAACACAAGCAGTGAGATAGTGTGCACTGTGGACGCGTGAGTGGCGCAAGGTTTGTGGTGCAAGCTAGGTGGCGCAGTCCCACCGGCCCTTTCGGGCGCGAGTGGTTTGGAGCGTTTCCTCGTCCAACCCCCTCTCTTCCCCTTCGGAGAGAGGCTTACCCCTCCCCGATGCCCCTCCCCCTGGGTCTGGACGAGGGGGGTGCGGTGGGCCGTTGGAGCGTCCAAAATGGCCTGTGCGACAAGGCCACAAGCATTTATATTAGGTTTCGGTCACGTGTTAGCCTCTTGGGGGGGGACCCTAATGTACTGCGGCCCCTCCTTTGATCGATTTCCTCCAAGATGGCCTCAAGATGGTCCCCGAGGCTCCCAAGGCGCCCCATTGAATAACGAGCGCCAGCAAAAACCCTAACCCTCATAACACGAGAAAGACGTGGTCTCACTGAGGTCCTCGTCTTCGCATCAGGGATCATAATTCTGGGTGGTTTGGTCTGATGCATCTGCAGAAAGAGACCCCTTTATCCCTGATGTTTCTGGCCTTCCTAACTTAGGTACCCTCTCGAAGGCTGAGGGGTCCTTTCTTGGTTAATCAAATGACCCCCACTCTTACCATTTAAAGTATGGCCTAGAGGAGCCCCAAACATCACTTAGGCCCCTGCGGTCGCTCCCCAGTACGGCCTAAGAGGCTTCCAAAACGGCCCCAAGGCGGCCCAGGAAGGCACCAGGACGGTGCATGGGGCCCCCAACACGACGCACGAGGCGTCCAAGATGCCCTAGATTTGATCAAAGGCGCCCGCACTCCACTATGTCGAACAGTACGGTAGTATCCTCCCCCGTCGGTGTCCTCCTTATGCTGATAAGTTTACGGTATCATTTGGTCCCCGTACCCCTCGAATTGCACCACGTTCAGTTTATCAGGTGCCCTTGCAGACCAGTCGTCCACAGTTGTTCATTTCGCCCTTATGTTTGCCATGCTTTGCTTGTTTTAGATTCTTCGCCACTTCTCTTCCGGTGAGGGCGTCATGAGAGTCCCAGCTGGCCCCATTTTACAGGACCCCAAACGTCCCAAGAACAACTCAGGGAGTCGTCAGAGAGCGCCAGGAAGACTTTTGGCCGGCCCCATGTGACTCCCCACGAGCTGCTCGAGTACCCCCGAGACTGCCTCGAGAGGCTCAGACGACCCAAGAAAGCCCAGATGTCGCCCGAGAGAGCTCCAAGGCGGCTTCAAAGAGCTCCCAGGAGGCCCCCGAGACGCCGAATGCGCTGCTTTCTTGTTGGCTTCTGCCAGATGTTCGCGGGAGGCGCCTTCCCCCGTGCCCGCCTTGAAGGCGGCCCACGACGCGGCAAGGCTCGCCCAAGGCGGCCCAAAACGTCCCCGCGAGGGCACTCGATCGGCCCCACGACTGCTCAGGGCAAGGCTAACATGGCTCCAGAAGGCACCAGGACCAAGACGGCCCAAGAAGGCGCCGGGAGGGCTCCACGACGGCCAGACCGGCGATGAGGAGGATCAGGAGCATGCGGAGCAGGAGTATGAGGAGGATGATAATGAATTGGAGGGACGGGAAGGAGGAACAGCAGGAGGCGAAGGGCTATTCTGAGGCTTTCCTCCATGCCCTTCTGATAATGTCCTTCCAACTGTCTTCGCACATTATGTTCATATGCAGCTGTGGTGTTGTCGAGGGCGGCGGCATGCTAGAGTCTAGCGGGCGCGTGGGTTCAGTGTGTATACAACATGTGTACAATGAGCACCTTGAGACGCCTTGTCAAGCACGAAGTAGAGCAGTTCGCGTGGGGGTCGATGGGAAGCCGTGCGGCGCGACGTAGAGACAACCATTGGGGCATGCGAAATGTGCGTTGGAGCTGTGGGGCGCAGTCGCGCGTTTTTGGAAAAGCTGCCCAGGTGGTGGATCGCAGGACGACGCAGATCCAGGCCGACCCCGGCCGATGACTGCCACCGTTGCTGCTACCTTGGATGCTTGGCCTCGCGCCGGGGCCTCCCTGTGCCCGCGACCGTACTCACGCCGTGCCTCTGCCTCTGCCCACGCTGCCGCACTCTGTGACCACGCCGCCACGTTCGCCTCTGCCTATGCTTCCCTTCGCCAGTCTCTCCAACACATATGTGCTCATGCGCCTCAGCATGTGCATATGTATACATATACACATGTGTATATATCGATACATACAAATATGCACAGATACACGTTTTGTGCCACGGGGTCGGGAGCCTTCACCCAACTGCCTCGTGTCGCCATGGCCGCTCTGGGGTCCCCGGGTGCCCTTTCCAGCGGCCCGAGAGCCTTCCAAGGCGCTTCTCAGACGGGCCAAGAGAACCCCGAGAGCCTCACCAGAAGATCCAACGAGTCTCGACTCGCTCAGGTTCGCCTCCAGTCGGCCCGAGACGCCTCCAAGGCGCCTCAAGGGGCATTCAAAAGCACGTCGAAAGGATCCCCGACGCACCAAATTCATTCATGTTCCGTAGGTATTCGAGGATCTTCCAGTTTCTCAGTTTGCGATCTGCCTGCGCTCCTCGAAGACCCAGGGGTGGCCCCAAGATTGCCCCAGGACGGTCCAGGAGTGCCGAGGAGGGTTCCGACACGGCCCCAGAGCGCCCCAAGATGGCCTACGAGGCCCTTCATGACGCCTCCCGGACGGGCGAAAGAGAGCTCTGTGAGCCGGACCCCCGCTTCCAAGAGGGCCCAGACACACCACATTCGTTCATGTGCCGCAGGTTGTTCGAGACTTGTCTTAAGTCGGGCACGTCCCTCTACAGGAGGAATATTCAAAAGTAGTCCAACAATAGTCCAGGGACGAAATTTGGTTGATTCTTGCATATGTTTGAATATTGTTTGACCATCTTTGATTTTTTCCTTCCAAGATCCGCCTGTAGGAGGACGTGCCCGACCTAAGACTTGTCCAGTTTCTCCTCTTTAGGCTTACCCGCGCCCCACGACGGCCCAGCCCCAATGACGGCCCAGGATGCCCCCGGGAGGATGCCAGGAGGGCCCCAGAACGCCCCAAGGCGGCCCACGAGGCTCCGAAGATGGCACTGGAGGGCCACCCTCGGATGTTCGGTTTGTTTTGGCCGACGGAGGGTCTCATGTTCGTGAGGGATGTCATTAAGGCCTAGTAGGCCCGACCGTATGAAGAGCGAATCAGGCGGTAGACGCGGAGGTGGACGAGGCTCGCAGGCGGTTCATCGACCCCGGTACCCCAATTCCGTCTGAAGAAAGTTGGCCGCTCAGAAGAAGGGGGGAGGCTCGGGGATACACCTCTGAGGGGCTATTCGGACGCACCTCTATCGAGGACGGGAGCATCCCTTCGTCTATCCCAGAGTTTACTGCTTCAAATCTGCAGTCCATTCGAGCACCTCACCTGACAAATGCGGGGATTGGGGTCGCTATACCCCCGGTTAGACGCCGAGAAGGAGAGGGAGGAGGACGAGGTCGAGGCGGAGGAGGATGCGCCGCCGCCGGCGGCGGAACAGCTCCTTGCGTCGGGAAGTTCCTCGAGGCAGCTGGAGACCGCTGGGCGCACGACGAGCTACTGCAGCCCTGGCGATGTCGAGCCGGTGAAGCTCGGCCCTCCTCCCCACGGCTCAAACCCAGCCGTGGGGGCTCCACTGGGTGTGGGGGGCCAGCCCCACACCAGCCGGTGGCTTGGCATCGCTCGGACGTGTGCATTTTTCTTTCGGCGAGGACCATCCTTGATTGATCATTTGGGCAAAAAAGCCACGCACGAAACCGAAACAAAAACACAGGGAATGGACGTCCGAGCGATGGCGAGGTGGGGACTCCATTGGGCGTGGGGGGCTCAAACCCAGCCGTTGGGATTCCTCCTCCCCCGCCAGCAGCGGCTCGCGCGCCCCCTCCCCACCGCGGCGCGACGGGCCAGGCCCTGGCGCGCGGCTTCCTGGTCCGCAGGCGCCGCGCCAGGTTCGAGGCCAAGGCGAGCGCCGTCGGCGCCCCGCCTCCTCCTGCTCCGCCTCCTGCTCCCCTGCTCCCCCCCGCCCCCCTGCTGCTGCGCCCAGTCCCCAGGACGTGAAGCCGTGGTGTCCACACATGCAAAGGATACGTGTACACGGGAGGAGGAGGAGGAGGAGGAGGAGGAGGAGAAGGAGAAGAAGGAGAATGGAGGAGGGAGGAGGAGGAGGAGGAGGAGACGATAATGAGGGAGAATGTGGGGGCCGCGGGGGCTGCAGAAAGGGGGCTCTTTAGGGCCCCTATACCGCAGCCCTTTAGGGCATCCAAGGGGGCCTTCCGTGAGGGCCCGAAAAATGCACTTTTCTTTCCCACCAAATCATCACACTTGTTTTTTCATCAGACTTGTTTTTTTTATCACAGTTTCGTTGTACTTGTTTTTAGCACACTTGTTTTTTCGCCCCTCCTGTTACGCGATGCCCAGTCGGTCCGGGGTCTGGAGTAGTCACCTGTCTCCTCTCCCCCCAGGGCCTGCAACCGCACGCGCGCCCCTCCAGGGCGCCCTCGAGGGCGCGAGAAGCTACTCGCGCTTCGCGCTTCGCGCTTCGCGCTTCGGCTCCGACTCCTCCTCGTCTCCCCCCTCTTCTCCCCTGGGGTGGCGGCGCGAGAGCGCGAAGCTCTTCGCGCAGCGCGAAGCGCGAAGCTGCTTCCCTCGTGCAGAAACTCGCAGGCCTAGAAGTTGGCACCAGCACCAGTATCGGCGGTGGGCCTCCACCGAGGGAAGGGGATCCGAGTCTCGGTGATGGTGGTAACGTTCTGGCTTCTAGGGTGGCCGAGCTATGACCGCCAGCACCGAAGTCTGGGATCACCTCCCCCCCTGTGGAGGCACCACCCCTCGTGCTGGTGCTGGTGCCGCTTCCCAGGCCTCCCAAGGGGGGGCCCCCCGCCTTCAGGACTCCAAACGGTGAGATATGTCGGCGGCGTGCCCCTCGGGACGGGGTCCTCCTCTGGCCGCTCCGAACGAAGGCGGCCCTCGCCCCCCTGGGCGATGGCCGCGCCCCTGCCCTCTCCACAGCTGCTCACCTCGATTCGAGCAGGATGAAAATTTCAAACATGGTAGAAAATAGCCTGGGGACGAGCTTTCGACTATTTTTCAAACATCCTGTTTGATGTTTTGTTTTTTATTTCTGGTCCAAAACCCGCCTGTAGGAGGACATGCCCGACCTAACACCGCGAGCACTGCCCCCGAGGGAAGAAGCACGACGGCCACGACCAAGACGCCTCGGGCTCCAGTCGACGCCGATCTTGGTCATGGTCCATGCCGGCCGTCGCCGATCTCCGCGAGGCCGATGCACGAGTCGACGACGACCACGACGGACGATGCCCAAGATCGACACCGACGGTTCCGCGCTCCGTCTTGGCCACCGTCCTCGTGCTCGTTCCCCCCACGCTCCCTCCCTCTCCCCGCTGCTGAGACCACGGTCCGCGCTCCACCGACGCCTGGGGTGACGCCCGCGGGGGGGGTGGGGCGGCGGGAGGGAGCCTCACCCAGCGGCTTGGCATCGCTCGGACGTGTGCATTTTTCTCCCGGCGAGGACCATCGAGGAGCATCCTTGATCACTTGGCGAAAAAAACACGCACGAAACCGAAAAAAAACACAGGGAATGGACGTCCGAGCGATGGCCAGGCGGTGGCCCGTGGGCCACCCCGCGCGAGGCCCGCGGGCCTCCCGGGGTGGGTGAGCCGGCACGCGCCTGGTTTACCAGCGCACGGTTGACGGAGGACGGCCCGCAGACGCGTCGAGGCCTCGCGGAGCCGCACCACACAAGCAAGCAGCCAGCAGCAGCAGGTGACCATGTCAACCATGTTCGCTCTTCGTTGCTCGCGTACCCCGAAGCACGATGCCCGCTCTCTTCGTCCTCGACGGGTGCCCCCTGTGGGGGGGGGCGCATCCCCCTCCAAAAACAACAAAAAACACGGTGGGAAGGGACGGGGAGGGGAGGGGGGTCGCAGGTCCGCTCCTCTGTTCTGTCCCTCCCCCCCTCCCCCCCCTCCTCTGTCCCCCTTCTCGCCCCCCCGCGCCGGCCCGCCTGTCTGCCTGCCTGCGCGCGCGCGCGCGCCCGCGGGCCCCCTGCCCCAGGGGCAAGGACTCAGGGGGGGGGGGAAAGCTCATGCTGAGCAGTCGAGGGCCAGACTGGACGATTGCAGTGGGCCTCTGGGACCAATCCGGCATCGGTCTCCTGGGAGTTCCCCCCACGACGTGGGGGGGAGGATGCATCGAGCCCCCAGTCGCCCCCTCTTCGCCGACGGGGGGGGGGGCCCGACTGCCCCTGCTTGGGTTTTTGTTGCCTCCTGCCTCGCGGTCGCTGCGGGTGGGGTTTAGGGCCTCGGCTTTGTTACCTGGGTCGTTGTCCCTCCGCTGCCGCGTGTCTTTCCTCTGGCGCTCGCTCGTGCGTCCTCTTCGGGCCCCCTCGTTCGCTCCTGTGCTGCCGGGAGTTGCCGCTTGACTCGAACACGCGTCAAAGGCAACGAGCCTAGAAGGGCCCGATGGCCCACCCCGCCCAGGAGCGTGCGGGTTCGCTGTCGGGGGGAGCCTGTCGCCGATCTATCGGCGATGTATCGCCGAGTCAAGCTCCATGCTTCCTCCCCTGAGCTGGTTTCCCCCCCCGCCCCCCCCTCGTTTTTCCTTGAACCCCCCTCCCGCGCAGGGCGGCCACACGGCCCTGACGCCGAGGCTCGAGGATCACGGAGCGGAGTCGATTCTGTCTGTCTTTCGGGGGCCCTTGGGGAGGCTGCTGGTCGCCACGGCCCGATCGCCCGTCGTACGCCTCGTCGGCCAGCACCCCCAGAGAGGTCTGGGTGCCGATCCCCTGGACCGCGCGAGAGGACCTGGGTTCTGGGCCCTGGGCCCGAAGCTCGATGCTCTACCCCTGTCGATTGCCCTCGCGCCCCCCCCCCTGCCCCAGCCTCCAGCGGGCGGTGCCCCCGTCGGCCCCGAGGGCCCCGTGGGCTCAAGCTTTCCATATAGCTTTTTGTTGGTTCGGGCGTGTTTTGGAAGGTACAGTGGGGGCGCGCATCAAGAAACCATGTGCTTTTCGTCTGGGTACCCTGGGTTTCTTCGCTCCTCGCGCTGCGCGGTGACTTCCCGCGGCCGTTGAGGGAGCTGCTGCGTTCGGGGTGCGCCGGGTTTCCCCTCAGGTGTACCTCGCGCACGGGTTCTCAGGGTTGGGTTTCTTGCGAGGGTCTCTTGCGGCCGCGCCCGCCCGCACTGTATACAGTCGGCCTGGATTAGTAGGTCGACCCTGCCAAATCAAGGGTACACGTGTGTCCTGTGTCTCGCGACCCGTGCCTCCTGCATTCCTATGGCAATGTGGCCCCCGGAAGGGTTTTTCGTCCTCTCGCGTGCCCTGTCCAATGAAGTCCGACTGTAGCCACGGCCTCGCGTCCGAACGCGTGAAGCGTCGAACCTCTGACATGTCGTAGCCTTGAGTCGTACAGTGGGGACCCATGCCAAGAAACGCCCTGCTCGCCTCCAGGGTGCCCTGGGTTTCTGGGGATTCGATGGTTTTGCGATGGAAAGCGTGACGTTCCCACACAAAAAACCAATGGACGTCCCGGGGTCGCAGTGTTGGGCTTCTTGCGGCAGATGTCTTGTGGTCGGGCCCCTACTGCACTGCAAAAAAAATGGCGGGCAGGGTGCCAACCACACACACTGGCACGGGTCCTGGCGAGTCCCAGGCCCCCGGGCTTTGGCAGATGTGTTCCGCGCCAGGTCGGGAAGGGCGTGCGTGCACCGATCCCGGGCATGGGGTGTGCCTGGCCAGGATCGCCCAGGGGATAATGTCGGGGGCGGAAAAGACGGGGGTGATGACTAGGGGGGGGGTATATCATGGCGGGGGCCCATGATATTTCCCCATATTTCATGCCGCCTCTTCTTATTTCATTACGTCCCTGGCCCCCCCGCTGGGCCGCGCACATGCCGCCGGTCATGATTTGCACCCTCCCCTCTTGGACACCCCCCTCATTGGCCGCTCCCGATAAAGCGGGAGCCCCCAAAGCAGGTGGTGAGATACCAGGTGGTGACCTGGAATCTCCAGAAAGTCACCGCCGGGTCTTGGAACACGGGGTCGCCGCCAGGTTCTGTGACTCCTGGAGCCACCAGCGGGCGGGACACCCTCGAAACACCGCACGAGTCCCCAAACCGGGTGGTGACACCAAATCGCCCGAGACTCACCGCCAGGTGCCGTCACCACCCGGTTTGGGGACCGCCAGGAAGAGAGGCGACATGCCCCGGGCTCTGGAGCCCACACCCCGCCGCCCAGATCGTCCGCTTTGGGAGGTTGGCGGCTTTGGGCAGACAGTGCGCTTAGTTTCAAGGGCGCCTCGCCAAAAGTTCAGACGCGGTCGGGCTCCCGGGCAACTGCCTGATGTTCGCTGCCTGCACGTGCAAGGTTTCTCTGGTCGCAGTGGCTCGCAGTCTCCGAACAGATCCTCCGACCTTGTAGGAGCGGGTCGTGCCGACGCAGCGGCGACACCCCAGCGCGGGCGCTCAAGGTTGAACACTGCCAGTGGCCAAGGGTCGGCCGATTTCGAGCGTCCACGCCATCGGAAAGCCGCGGATCGATCAAGTTTGAGCGACCCACGCGGCGTCTAATGCCAGCGGCGATGCTGTCACGACACGGCCTTGCCGCGCTCCCGCCCCGCCTGGTATCCTCAGATAGGCTGAGTCCGCGCGTCGTTGCTAGAGACTCCGAAGCATCAGCTTTTTCAGGGAAGTCTGGCCCTGATCAGCCGACGACCTTGGCCATCGAGCTAGGCCGCGCCAGGCTGTTGGCCAGATTTTGATCGGGCGGCAGACCGCTTGAGACAGGGAACCCTGATGTTCGGTTGGTACACTCGGCCTCCTGGATGGGGTCCGAGTAGATGGGGTCTGAGCATCGCGCCGCATCGCCGATGCATCGACGATGCGGCTCGATGTGGAGCCCGTGGTTCCCCACGCCGACGTCACCGATGCATCGCCGATGCATCGCCGATGCATAGGCGATGCATTGGCGATACGGCGCGATCCTTCGACCCCATCTACTCGGACCCCATTTAGGAGGCCTCTAGTTTCCCAACTGCAGTTCCGACACCCCACTGCACGCTCGTCGAAGAACAACTGCATAAATATGACATGTCCGAGGCCCGCGCAGGTTTCCAGGGTCGGCGCTGGACTTTCCCGGCGGCGCCTCCGGCGCCACCCCCGGCGCGCTCCGGGTGCCAGGGCAGTGCGAATCCATTGAACTCCACGCGGACCTCGGCATGTTTATGTTCAAGCCGTTGTTGTTTCTTGTGTATAAGGTGAGGGGAGAGCGATGAAGAGCAATTCGCCAAGGGTTCAGCATAACGACAGGGGCACGTGATTACTTTCCCAAGGTAGGCGAGTTCTGTTTCGGGCGCCCACACATTTGTCCACTTGGTCAGTGCTTCGTAGTGAGTGGCGAATGCCCTTGGGATGTGTGTAGTGGGTGGGAACGAGGGTCGTAATGAAGCCGATGCCATGAAGCAGTAACGGCGGATGTCTTGGAGGAGTGAAAGGGAATGCGTACACCTGTGCACATTCGCATACAATGCGTACGAGTGTGCACAGTTAGATGTCAGTATGCTGATACAGTTGTGTGTAGTCTGGTGGGTGCGTTTAACATGTGTCCACCTGCTGACACACATGTGTCGAACCGTACTGACATACACACAAGTCATGGAGAGTACCCGGTGGCGACGGTGTGAGCGAGGGGGGCGCGGAGTTGCTGGTGTGCGCGGCGCATTTGTTGGGCTCAAGCCGCCCCAGTGGCAGCCGAAATCGGTGAGCCCCAGCTTACCCTGGCTGGCCGCACCTCGTTGCGGCTTCCATCCCATTCGGCTCGGGGGGGGTGAGCTCGAAGTGGATAGTAGAGTCTTCACGCTGGATTGTGCACAGGGTTACGCTGGTGATTCAAGCTGGGTAGAGCAAGTCGGATACCATAGGAGGCCCGAGCGGGAGTTAGTCCAAGCGATTCATGTTGGATAGTGCATCGGATGCGCTGGCAAACAGGAGGATGACGCTAAAACCCAACGTGGAAGGAAACCGTTGCGAGGCGCATTGTATTTGGTAGTGGGCGAGATCTCCTATGTCCAGAGCCACGCGAGGTCGACACGCCTTGCTTTTCGACGGGGGATGAGGACTTGGTGAAACTTCGTGGAACCACTGGGAGGCACTGAGTCCAAGAAGTTTTGGCACTGACTGCGCTCCCTGCCGTGCCGAATCCCCCCGTTGCAACCCTGGACAGCGCCAAGATTTCCTCGCATCGCACCGGCTTTGGCGAGGACACCTGGCCTATGGAGAAGATTATTAGGAGGCGGAGGAGGAGGAGGGGGACGAGGAGGAGGAGGCGGAGGAGGAGGAGAATCTGAGTTGGAGGAGAATGTGGCGGCACGACTGCTCGGAGGGTACGGTTGGCACGTACTCAGCAGATGCGGTCACATGACCACGGCAAGATTTACAAGACGCCTGCACGCACGGCCCACGTGATGCGTGCGTTAATGGTGCTCTCTTCTGCGAGCGCGCCCTCGATGCCCCAACTCCCACGACGAAAGGTCTCTCTCTCTCTCTCTCTCGGTGGTGCCAGCCAGGGCGGGGATTCGGATGTCCCTCGTGGTGGCCTGGAGTGGCAGCGTCCTTGGCCTCTCTCTCTTTGTATAGCGAGCGCTCTCTCTCTCTCGTGGTGGCCAGTAGTGGCAGCGTGGTGTCCCTCTCGGCTGTCCTCTCTCTCGGATGTCCCTCGTGGTGGCCGGGAGTGGCGGAGTCCTCGGCCTCTCGCTCTCTGTGTAGCGAGCGCGGGAGACTCGGCAGACCTCGGCGCGCGAGGGCCGGCAGCAGAGCGTGCCGGCCGTGCGGTCTGCCAAAGGGCCGCCCGCGCGGACAGTCGTGGTTCGGGTCGGAGGGAGAATCAGGAAACTCAAGCAGTGACGAAGCGTCCCGGCTTGCCTATAGCCCTACCAAACAATGTTCTAAGAACCTTTTGTGGTTTCCACGCAATGTTCCTAGAACATTTCGTGGTTGAGATTGTCTTGTGTTAACACATAGGGCCTATGTTCTAAGAACCTTGTTTGTTCTTAGAACATTTTGGGGTTCTAAGAAAATTTCGTAGTAGGACTGTAGGAATGCCAGGACGGTCGGTCCCTGCTCAAGAAACGGACACAAACACACGTCGATTCCCATCCGCATATCGGGTTGTCGGGGCAGCGGAAGGGCAGACGAAGGCGCAGAAGGAGCCCGACGAGCGCAGGAATCCTCGGATGCGTGTGTATAGCTGTGTGTGCGTGCGTGCGCCCCTGGGCCCCTTCCAGTTCGGGGGCACTCCAGGCGGAGACCCCTGCGGGTCTGTTCTCGTCCCGTGCTTCTCCGTGCCTGCAGCGTCGGGGGGGGGGCCGCCCAGGGGTCACCTTGGGGGGCCGTGTGGGGCAATATCCTTGGCAGGCTTAGGGGGGGGGTGGGGGGAGGCATCCCACGGCCTCTGTCTGGGGCCGCCTCGGGACCATCTCTTGGTCCCGGGGGGGGCATCCTTGGGGCATCCTTGGGGCATCCTGGGGCGCATTTTGGGGCCATGCTGGAAAACATGTTCGTTTCTGCTTTAATGTAAAAGATCAGCCACACGAAAACCAGAAGAACAACAAACAATGGGGCCATGCTGGGGCCTCGTCGGGCCGTCCGGGGGGGCCCTGAGAGCTATCTTGG